TTCTAAATATATTTATTAAATTCTTATATTCTTATTTATATATTCTAAGAAGAAAACTTATATATACCTTAAAAGTATATTTAGGAAGAGTATATAGAGCTATATATATTAGATTTATAAGAGCTTATATATATTTATAAAGATATATATCTTATTATCTAAGATATTATAAGTCTTTTTAGAGTAATTACTCTCTTTATTCTAGAATAATATAAATTACTTAATTATAATTCTATTAATTAATAAGTTTATTAATTTATATAATAATAGAATATAATATTAAGCTAATAAGTTCTAAATACTATTTAGAGGTAAAGTCTTATTTTATTATAAATAAAATATAATCTTTTATTAGCTAGATTATTTACTCTATTAATTAGATAACCTTAAAATATAAAGTTAATAGGGATCTATCCTCTTATTTTATATAACTCGAATTTAAGATAATTAAATAATCTTTATTATAAATAATTATTTATTATCTAATTATTCTCGTTATTCCTCTACTCTATAAAGTATTAAATTATAATTAATATTACTCTTTAATATATCTATATTAAGTATCTTTTCTTATAATAATATTAGAATTAATCTCTTTAATATTTTAATATTTATTACCCCTAGAAGAGGGATCCTACGATCTATAAGATATACTTCTAGTATTTAAGAGATTATTAAATTATAGGAATCGAAATCCTCTTCGTTTTAGTTTTAGAAGTCTTTAATAAATACTTCTAAGAGGTAAACTCCTTTTATATTTCTATATATACTTATTATTTTAATAATCTAAGCGCTCTTAAGATCTATAAATACTAAATCTAGTAATCCTAGGAATTATAATTCTATATTATTTACGATAAAATCGATATTAAGATCTTTCTTAACTTTTTAAATAAAGTATATAATATTAATATCTTTTAGAATAATATTAAATTCCTATTATAGCTTTTTAGCGCTTTCTAGCTTTATTATAGAGCTATTATTATAATCTAAAGAGCTTATTATTATTAAGTTTATAAAGCTCTAATATAAATAATTAATTATTCCGTATAGCTTCGTTTTTCGGGTTTTATAGTTAATAATATAGCTTAATAATAATCTTAGTTATAGGAGTCCTAAGATACTCGAAATAGATAGTATTTTTATAGATTATATAATAAGGGAATTCCCTATTATTAAGCTTATATAAGAGTTTTAAAATACTTAAAAATAAAATAATACTTTTATAATTATTTATAAAGCGTAATCGATAAGCTTATATATAGTAAATATATTCTTTATAGGATTAATCCTAATTTCTCTAGCTCTAGCTATTCTATATTATATTAAATATAATATTAATTAATATTAAGAGGGCTTTATTATTTATATAAACCTTAATCTAATACTTTCGTTATACTTACGAGCTCTAAATAAATAGGGTATCTAATAAGTCTTATAATAGTTAATTCTTATATATAATTCTTATCTACTTCTCTAAGTTACTACTACTTACGTGAGTTAGATATACCTATCTACTCTTAGCGATTACGTAAGCCGTAGTTCACGTGCTCCTGAGAGCAGTGGATCCTAGATATCCTAGATATCACTATCCTAACTATAGAGTTCCCTAATATTGGTTCAACAATTTGAATATATATAAAATCGTGGCGGCCAGGGTTTAAAAACAATCTGTTTTGAGTGATACTTCGTCCGATATGAATAACAAAATCAAGGGCCTTCTGACCTCGGTGGCCTGACTTCGCCCTCAGTCCACCTTCCAGCAAGCTTCTTCTCATCATGCCTCCGGTTAACCTCCTCAACGCCCAGGTCCTTCCCTACCGCAAGCAAGTCCCGATTCCACAGAGCTCTGATATGACAAAAGGCGCAAAGCAGCCAAAGAGCAACCAGCACGACAGTCAATGCCGAACCAAATGCACGGAGACCAGTGCTCTCGAGAGAATTGCCCAACTGAATGGACGCCATGGCGAGGCCAGCATTCGGGAAAACAAATGCCCACCACTGCAATGTAAAGTTCATTCGACGGACAACGCGAATCACGGATACGGATGTGAGCGCGGCGAACCACAGGGCGACAAGCCAGACAAACAGCGCCGCGGCGACGGAACAGGACCGCCATACGTCGCCAACGTCAATGCTCGTGACACCCAGGAAGCCGTCGGGCAGGGCATTCTGCGCTTGCTTTCCAAGGCCGACGAGTCCGCTGCAGGTGTACGCCGCAGGTCCGACGGAAACGTACATGCCTGGCCGAGTCGATGGTGGAGGCATATTGTTTGCGATGAGGCGCGTGAGATAGACGACGTAGATGAAGATGGCGAGAATCCAGCCGAGGCCCTGGCCCATGATGCCTGCGACGATGATTTGCACGGCGCTGTTTTGGTCCTGTGTCTCGGCAATGTTCGCGGCCAGAGTCCCAGAGATGAGAAAGGGGTATGCGGGAAGGATCCAAGCTGGAACGGCATCCGAGAGTGCCAGCTTCTCAACCTCGAAAATGACGTGATACTCAAATACGGCTACGATGAGAGCGCACGCCATGTAGATCCAGAACACCACCCTCAGAGCCGATACCAGCCATGGCCCTGAGTCCGGGACGCCGTAAACTGTTGCTCCATTCAGGATGAGGGCAATCGAGACCCAGAATGACCCAAAGAAGAATGACTCGGAGGGATGGTGGAGCGATGTGGTCAGCGCTCGGGGCTTGAAAGTGAAGCGAATGACGATAAGAACGGTAAAGATGATGAAGAGGGCAAGGGTCGTGATGAAGAAGATTTTGCCAATAGCCGTCAAGCCGGCAAAGGTGTAAGGTTGGACGCTGATGAGAGAGGCCAGGGAGCCCGTCGACATTGTTGTAGGAAACCACGCCCAAGTGACCCGCATAGCGCGCTCGCTGAATGACAGAGGCTCTTTGGGACGGTTGAAAAATGGCTTGCGGTCTTTCTGGTCGGCTTTCCGTGATGAGTCCTTTCCGCTCTCGAGATCGGCATCGGCGGAGCTGGCTGGCCCATTCAGGGTATCTTGGTCGCGATCTCGTGCGGCAAGTTTGTCCCGTGTGACTGTCTCTCCATAGCCGGTTGTTGTCACATTCGCATCTTCCCGATCGTGTGCCCCCGGATCCCTCTCCGTACCGTCACCGCGAATCATCTCGAGCGCGAAGAATCGATGCTTTTGCTCTGTTGCTGTTCAAGTCTACGCCTGGAAAGATTCGATTCCCGATGTCGAAATTCGAATCGTACCCGATGCTATGGGGACGCCACGCGGTAGTATCGAGAGAAGTGGTTGGGACCTGCTCAGACGCGCCACCATGACGGCCAACAGAGGGTTACCATAGCCTTTAAACTTCTCCGCCATACTGGTTTCTTCTCTGCCCTACCAAGCTTGACAAGATTGAATGGCCTTGAGTCGAGTGACCGCGCGTTGTCTTGGCTAATGACATCGGAGGCCCACCGTTCTGTGAAGATGCAACAGCCAAGCATTTTACGGCCCCAGTTTAGGTTGGAGAAGCGCCGGGGATTGGACTGTATTGACAAGACGATAGCTTGGAAAGGTGACGTCTGCCGCGGTGCCGAGAGTCCGGGTGCCGGCGCCAAGGCGGTTGGGACCCGTCTTTTTGGCTCGGCTTTCTTTGGTCATCTGGACGTCAGAATGCCAGGATTTGTCAAGACAGAATTCACCATAAAAGGCCTCCGAAGGCAAAGCATATTGATGGCGAGAACTCGTCGCTGGGGGCCTTGACTCAGGCCTCTTTTGAGCAGGCAGTCAGTCTTCCTGCCACCAACTAAAATCATCTCAGACACCGAGCATTGTGTTTGTGAGAGCCAGTCTATGGAACTACTGTTGCTCAATACCGAAATTCGAAGGTGGTCGATGGCATCACACATGTGGCCGCCGCTCGTGCCATGACGCCACGACTTGATAGTCCACATCCTGACACTCCCCGCACCCATGAGCTATGGGATACAGACCGATTTGAAGCCGTCTTTCCAGGTGATCTAAATAGCTAGACTGTTATGAACAGCCAACATTCGCGACGCGGGAGAAAAGTCTTTAGTCGTTTGCACTTCTGCCCATCACTTATTCTTCTGTTACAGGAGATTCCGTCTCATTATTGAGGCATCAGCGTACCCCAGGGAAGTTGCCCGCCGACCTCTGAGGCCAACTTGACGCCTTCACGCGGATCCGTTTCATATACGATTCCCCGTCCCTCGACTTCGAAGTACTCAGCGTCGAGGTCGTGTCGTTTGCTTCGCTTATCGGACCGACCCAGTTCAGTGGCTTGCATGCAGCTTTCCTCTCTCCCAGACAGCTGAGGGTGCGGGCGTCAGTATCTCTCTCGGACACCCATGGACGCAAGGTTGGACCAGGTCCAGGATGGGCGATTGCGATCTCTATGATGCTGTCATTGATTCTCGCCGTCGCGCGTTCTGACCAACAAGATCAAGCCCTTCGACAACAACGGGGTCTTTGCTGAGTACGATATCCCAATACCCAAGGCGCTAGGGGTTCCTCTTCAAAAGGGATCCTGGGGAGACCAAGTACAAATTCTCTGGGTAAAAACACCCGGAGCAAGTCAGTGGCCACTTGTGACAAGGTATCAGGAAATGCAGTGGGTATCACGAGTAAGGGAAGCGCGGAAGGTGCTGTGGAAAGCCTCCAGCAGATCAAAGAAGGGCCTCTGCGACGTGAGCACGCATTCCGATACAGCTCGGCATCTTGACGGCCGGCGGTAAGTTCTCGTTGTGTTATAGAGCTTTAAGAACCACGTTATATATCTATTCTGGACGTAGACGCAAGCGCAAAACTTGTCAGCCTGATGATTGTCACGTCCACGAGACATGTGTATTTGAAAGATCATGTTGAGAAGTACAAGAATGGCGGAGAAACTACCAGCTTTGGCTTGTAATTTGCCGCTTTTCAAGGTAGGTAAGGTATGATAACGAACTAGACCACTTTACGAACGAGATAGACGCCGCAGGCTACCGGAGAACTTCACTTAAGGGCAAAGAAAAACATCTTGGAGGTACAATATCGAGAACCTCGTTGCTTGTTATTTCATTCATTCAGACAGTCAATATGTCATTGGCGTGAGATCAAGATGAGACGTTCGCAAGCACCCACAGCCAACACATCGGCCAACGGACACGACTAATTCAGCACCCCAGAAATCGCAGTCTCTCGAGCCCCCGGCGCGTCCTCCAGGCATTCATGCCCGCCTGGAGCTCAACACACCCTTGCAGAAACCACGGCCACTTCTTCACAAAGCCCGCCGTAAGCTCCCACCCATGAGGCGACCACGGATCGGACCACACAATGGCAGACGCCCCATCCTCCAGCCCCTTCTTAGCTCCCGCTGTATCCGCGTAGTCCCGACACAGTTCGTCCTCATCGACCGCATTCTCGCCGTGGACTTGTATCATCCGCAGGAAACTGTCGCGCATCCGCGGGCAGGGGAACAGGTCAATCCAGGGGTGCTGGTCCACCGCCAGCTGCAGCACCGTCGGCCGCAGGCTCGCGGGCATGGCGTCCAACGACCACGTCCGCGTCCTTCGCATCGTGTAGGGCGAGAGGGAGTCGTCGGCAAGCCAGCCGTCGTCGAAACCGAGAATCCTCGTGACGCGCGTCAACGTTCGTGTCCTGGTCCAGGGTGTATCCATGCCTAAAGCGATGTGATTCTCGGCATCAGCCCGTCGACGAAGATGGCATGGCAATTTGAGGCTTCCGGTCCTGTGCCACACAGCTCAGCCGTACAATCCATCTGATGGTATGGTTTCTGCTGACATTAGCGACAAAGTCTCTCGTCCCAAGCAGGCTTTTGTCGGCGCCCCAGTGCGGACATCCTATGAGCTCTCGTAAGTCGTTATCTATCCTAGCCTTTGGGCATGATTCGTAGCCCGTATTACGACAGCGTTGCTTCCGACGCGGCGTGAAGAGCCGCCACATGGACGGCGAGGACCGCTGAAGCGACCGAGGTACTGAATCGGAGCCGAACACGAAACATAGTTGTCTGCACTCATGGGTATCTTGCTTTACAAAGTCACCATTGAGTTGCCTAGAAAAACCGAGACGGCACTTATCTTGTCAGCAGTCAGAAGGTCCCAGGCTCGTTCAAGGACTTACGGTTGCGGAAAAACATGGATAGGACGGGCTCAGGCGCCTCTGGGGTACCGATAATACTCAGCAGAGGTGTTTTTCATAGAATAGGTCGCATTGGTACACGATCATGGAATGTCCGTATGGTTTCGGGGAAGGCCTTGCAAGACGAAGCGCACGGCATGAAGGTGTCTGACAAAGATTATCCAGTGAGGATATTTGACGAGGGTGTTTAGCGATAAGTTGGCAATTAAGAACGGTCGAAGTTGATACGTGCCCGCCAAAAAGCATCCCATCGCTGCCCATGATCAGCTTGCAGCATAGAACCCAGTATCGTGACTAAAGAAAAGGGTATACGAATAATAGAAAGAACAAGCGCTCATGCCTCTCCAAAGCATAACCTCATCCTCCTTCCACCACACATTAATCCTCCCGTCTGGCCTCCGGATGCTCTCCAAGTGAGGTTGACGCTGCCGCCGTTACGTACGTAAACAAAAAAAGGAGAAGAAAGAAGAATAGAACAGTCAGAGCTCCTTCGTGGTGTTTGTCGCGAGTCGCCGCGAGCCCTACTCGATGCGGTTCCTCCAGCGCGCAAACACAAGGCGGAAGAAGCTCCCAATGAGCACGACCGAGACGACAGACTGCACGCCGCCGAGGACGATCCAGGCCCTGTCGACGCCCTTGGTCTGACCCCAGCCCTCGTAGCCGCGGTAGATGGCAAAGAGACTGTACGAGGTGAGCGACTGCAGGAGCAGCAGAGAACCGAAGACGGCGAGGTCCGAGGTCGTAATCTGTGGTGTGTTGGAGGGGCGCTCGTTGGCCCAAGAGAAGGAGGGCGAGGAGGCGGACAGGGACGAGGCTGTGGGAGATGTGAGTGGGCGGCGCGAAAATGATGCGGGGATCGTGAGAGGGTGAGCGGTACCTGGGTGGTTCTGCTTCCTCTCGTCCATTGTGACGATCGGTTGTGAGGACTCGTCTAGCGGGGTAGGAGGGCGGCGCGTAGATGTGGATGATAAGTCTCGAAAGATCAAGAGCAGCTACCAAATCCGAAAAACAAAAAACGCAGCCGAAGACGGTGAGCTATCTCGGGCACGGCAACTCGCTAGGTTAAGGTTCGTCTTGGGGCTAGGTCGACGGGCTGGCCACGGGGTTTTGAGTTTGGCAGGGCTGGGGAGAGATCACGAGGCAGAGCGAAACAGCGGGCTCGCGTGATGATATCTGTTGAAGGCCTTTCTTGCTACCTGCCACTGGTAGCCTACCTACCTAAGGTACCTACCTATGTATACCTTCTCAGGTAAGGTAGGTAAGGTACCTTACCCAAGGTAATAGGTAGGGACTGCCATCTCATCAACGATCGACGACCGATGGTCGGAAGCGTCGGAAGTACCTGCCTGCACATGCTACCCATCTTGGCACTGGCACTGCACTTGCACTTGCCATGGCCATCCGCCGGTACATGGCGCTTCCTGTCCCCATCCATCGTAAGATCTGAACAGTAGGCAGGAAACATGTGGCAGGAAGCGGGAAGCAGGTGGTGGGCGGGCAGGTGTGGGCGGGCAGGCTCGGTTTCGCGGCAGACGTGTGGATCAGGCCACCACCCAACACCATCGAGCTAACCCTCCATGCAGTACAATGTACAGCCAACGCCATCTCTACGACTCTCTTCCCTCTTAATGCTTTCTTCGCTTTCTTCGCTAATGCCACGTAGCTGCCCTGAGGCCGCGCGTAACGCACGCGCGCGGCCCAGCCACCTTAAAGCCACGCGCAACGCACGGCCTACCTTCCAACACTTCTACTTCGACTTACCCCTATACCTAAGCAACGCCTACGACTTAGGATGGGAGGAAGACGACAAGGACGTTACATCTTTAATTGTCCGGGCATTTAATATGAATGGAATGGAGGGCCGGCCTAGTGGCCGTGGCTTAAGGCCGCCTGTGGCCTGGCACGTGGCCTGGCCTGTGGCCCTGCCTGAGGCCTGGAGCCTAAAGCCCAACTGCCTAAGGCACGTAGCCTGACCTGTAGGCCCGTGCCTACTAAGACCTCTATACTATCAAGTGCAGTATATTTCAACCATTGGAGGTGTCGCGAATAGGGGGGCGACTAGGGGGCTAAAATTCATCGACTTCCCTATTGGCTGCCCTAGCAATTTATCTATATCTCATTAGCTTATAAACTAGCCTTATTAAGGTAGTATAATTTTATATAGAAAATAGAACCCCTAGCTATTAAACCTTCTAAGTATGCCCTATAAGTAGGGTTTAAAGATACCTAAGAGGGCATTAAAACTTATACCTATAACTATATATAAGCCTATATAGCCTTCCTACCTAAGAAGTAGAATTTATCTACTTTATACTTATAGAATAGCTATATAGCTTCTATCCTATATTCCTAGTATAATACCTACCTAGTTTCTAAGATCCGATTCTATTCCTAGCTATAATAGAGCTATATTTATTTCTATATATATTATATATATTAAGAGGGGCTTACTACTTCTATAAACCCTAATTTAGTACCTTAGCTAAACTTGCAAGCTCTAAATAGGTAGAGTACGTAATATAAGACTTATAATATAATTAATACTATCTCTCTAGATTACTACTACCTATATAAGTTAGATATACTTATCTAATTCACTAATTATATAAGCTATAACTTATATACTCCTAAGAGCTATAAGTCCTAGCTATAGTAGTTACTATATTAGTAATTACTATCCTAATTACTACCCTAGGGAATCCCCTAATATTAGTTTAATACTAGCTCTCTTTACAGATAGAATAGTTATAAGAACTAATATTAAGAGCTATTAATAGAGTTAATAGCCGCTCTAATATACTTATAATCTCGAGTCTCTAGTATATTATATCTACTCTTCTAGCTTTATAGTAAATAATTAATAATAGAAAAATAATAGATAGAGTAAGGAAAATATAGCTTAAACCTACTATTCCTATAAATATTAGGCCTCTAATTCCTAGTACTTTAGAGTAGTAGGATTACTTATAAATAGCTCTCTAAGGAAATAAATTAAATTATAATTTAAATAATAGAAATTATAGGAGTTATAAGGAGTTAGAGTTTTATAACTACTCTAGTAGCTTAAATAAAAGCTAAACTATAATAATATATATATTATAAAATAGAGAAAGATTATAGCTATAGAATAGTATAACTTTTATAATATTCTATAGAGCCGTTCTATAGTAATAAGCATTTAAGTTCTCTTATATCTTATTAGCTATAGCTTAAAATCCGACTCTACTTCCCCTATAGGTCTAGAGGTAGTCTAAGCGCCTTATATATACGTAGCTATTAAGGGTTAGTCTATTATATATAGAGGGCACTCCTTAGACCTATTTTTTAGGTTTTTAGATCTTAATAATTATCTAATTCTAATTATATTTATAAATCCCTTTTATATAATAATTAATATTTCATTTATATATTCTTAATTATTATAAATAGGTACCTTCTAAGATATACCTTACTCTTATTAAGATTAATCTAAGTATTTCTCTTAATTAATTATAACCTTCTTAATTATTCTTTTACTTATTTATTTTCGATCTAGATAAAAATATATAATTTTATAATTCTTATTAAAAACTATAAATATCTTCGATTTATTTCTTAATCTAATATCTCCTTCTTAAGATATAATTACTTTTACTTCTCTTTTCTTTTTATTTATAATCATCTCTTTATTCTATAATTAAATAATACCTTAAATTATTATTTAATATTTTCTATATTAATTATAATATATGAA